TGTCCCCGTTTTGAATGTACTGTCGGCTGTGAGTATCACCCGATTGGAACGCGGTAAACCGACCTGGAAGCGGATCGCTACTTGGGTTTTGAGAGTATACCCCATTCTCCAATTGTGTATCACGGCTGTTATGCTCTACGTATCGATATGGAACTATCCGGGCGGAGAAGCACTCGATCGCGTTCATGGGTACGTGTATCCGGGTGCTGTGGTGCATTATGATACATTTACGGCCATGACGGGTGCGTCCTTGTTTGGACATCAGAGAGCGGATGTCGTGTATGATAAAACGGAGGGGTTGACCGAGTTTGAGGGGTTTGATTTTGTGGTGACAGAGAATGAGAGGGTTAGTGGGGAATGGAAGGTTATGGAGATTGTACGTGGATTCGATGGAGTGCAAGTGGTTGGTGTCAGATCGTATTTGAATCAAGTCTTGAGGTGGATAAAAAGTGCACTTGTGGGTCATATCACGTCGGTTCCTGTACCTGTTCACATCAAGATTGGACCCAAGATTTGGATATTGGAGAATCAAAAGCGGATTCGAGGGAACGCATGACGCATCGTGGATAGAGGTCCCAATAGCAACGTTTCATTACAGATCGGCGAAAAGTCACTCACTTTGACGCTTGTTGTCAACTGTGTTTTGGCAGCTGACGAGGTTGGGAATGGAATAGAGACATAATAAATAGATATATACACTTTGATTGTGAATTATAACATGAGAGATAATATAAGCATCTGAACTAGTACGAGTGTACATGAATAGATAAAATGCAAGGAATAAACCATGACAAACCTGTACATAATGTAGAATCAGAATCAAAATTTCATGCCAAGTTATAAAGTTACCAATCTTGCGGGAATATGGTATGAAAACCATCTACTCATTCCGCATAATCAACAGCCACAAAATCTAGATACCCTTCCAAAGCCTCATTCCCACCTAACCGCCGAATCTCCTCACGAGCCTCATCTTCAATCCCCCGCAACACATTTTTACAATACTCAAATGTCCGTGTTTTGGTCATTAATGTGATGGCGAATTGTTTTAGGTCAGGGGATGTTGGGCGTTGTTTCAGGATATCTATTTTAAAGAAACGGGGTGTGTGTAAATACGGTGCATGACAATGAGGGAAAGATGGTGGATATTACGTTGGAGTTGGGTATTGGAGGTATCGGATCGGATGCAGTGAATGATGGGGAACGAGAATTTCCCTTCAGTAAGGTCTTCTGCAAAGCCCCTTGTTTTGGGTATACTAAAACGCAGAATTGATTTTAGAACGAGGTTATAGTACGCTTCGTCAGCGCTTGCAAACATCTTACTTTGCTG